AAAAAAAAAAAAAAACCCTCTCTTCTTTTTAGTTTTAGAAAAACAGCTCAACCAGTCACGTTACGCACACTGGAACTAAAATCTGCTGGTTCCAGAATGTTTCATGTTTTTCTGTGGGTCGTTTTTTTWATTATTTTTTATTTATTTTTAACAGCTTAATCAGTGTTGTCGTGCTTGTTTCAGATGCGAGGACAGACATAAGAAACAACGAGAATAAACTGGCTTTGGAGATGGCCACCAACGCCCAGTGTGCTACACTTCTGAAAAGGAAACAGTCAACCAGTAAGTTCTGCTGACGTTCTAAACAAGTTCTCTCTCATACAGAAGCACAGTGACTGGAAACAAGACTCACAATTACTACAATACAAACGGTTACTCTGATAGTTTTATTTATTTTTTTACATGCTCTGATCTTACTTGCACAACTAATTTAGTAATTAGCTGGGTTATTGGCCTCCTATTGAGCCTACTGTAGGTTCCTACAGAGGTGGAGGCCTCCGTTTTCAGTTGTCCCCCTCCTACAGTGCTGCTATTGCCAGTATCACTCCACCCCCCTGTTAACAATAGGTGTTAATTAGGTGTCAATGATAGCCATGTGATGTATCAGTCACATGGAGGCAGTGCTTAAAAGCCTGAATTTTGCCTGAAACTCTCAGACTGAAGAAGTCTCTTGGAGGAGAGACTAAACGTTTCATTAGAGAAGAACCCGTCCAGAAGACCTACACAATTTTTTTTTTCTTTTTGATTTTTTTACCTGGATTACTGAGATGCATCAGGACTACTGTAGGTTGTAAATATCTCACCTGCTTTAAAAAAACAATTTTTGAACCATGTTTTGAACACTGGGATCAGTAGCAACATCTTTAAGCTTTTGATATTTTTAATAAAATACAGTATTTTTGTGTCTAACTGCTTATTTCTTTCTTTCAGACAACATCCGGAAACCCAGTGATGCTGAGGAGTATTTGGATGATGAGGACTCAGATTGAGCCTGTCCCAGCCTGGTTTAAATATTTTCACCATCATCCTTTTTTTTTATTTTGTTATTTTTTTTTTTTGTAAAGGCAGAACTTTTGGAGTTTTATTCCAGACCTAAAATGGACTTGCTGGTAATGTAACTCTATTTTAGTTCAGATATTTTGTTCAAACTCTTTAGTTCTTGGTCCTTCACTTCCTGTCAGTGTGAATTTCAAAGCGCTGAAATGATCTGATTTATTATTATTATTTTTTTTACAGTTTGCCTGCTTTTCCAAGTGAACTTCTACGTGTAGGGGATAGTCTTGGAGCACTGGGAGCACACACTGTGGGCTGAGGGTCAGAAAGTGTAAATATTGGAGGAAAAGAGACCAAAGTTCTCAAGACACATTCCACACAGATTATATTTAAACTGTTAGGACGGAGAAGCAGGTGATGGTCTGTTTAAAGTTTCCCCTTTAAATGCAAGTGAGATGTTATTTTGTTAAGTTTTGAACACTTAAATTAATTTGCGTATTAATGGGCTTAATCAGGTGAACAGTTTTGAATGGCATAAATCTAATGGCTTATGTTTTACATCTTCTCTAAGAACAGAGCTGCTCTGTAATCTCTTGAGCTTTTGATAGGTTCATTTCTATCATGGGAGTGAGTTTTTGCAGCTTTTCAAACAGATTATAAAAAGTGCCTTAAATATGTGCAGGAGAGCTTTTGTCTCGCTTTAACCCTGATTTTGTCTCAGGGTTGACAATTTCTTAACGAGTTAAAGATTTCTGCTATTTTCAATCTGCAATAAAGGTTTTAAATTATGGCTTTACATTGTTGCTTTTTTAATGCGTAACTTAAAATTTAACTTCTAATACTGAGTTCTGCTTAAGTCTGACCTCAGGTGAACAAAACAAGAAAAAAGAGCTAAAACTGAAATGTGTGAAATGGTGAAGTCCACTCAAAGATTCAACAGCTTTCAGAACCTCCTACAGTTTTGTGATTTTTATTTTTTTTTATTTTTTCCAGTCTCATGAATTCTGGAGATTTGGCCCAGTTTTTCCAATGTTACTTTAAATTTAGCAGCCGTTAGTTTCTGGACACCTTTCACATCACAGCACTGTAGGCAGGTTGAGGTCTGGACCGTCGCAGCACCTTGATTTATTTTTTTTAAAGCAAATTTTTGAGATTTTGTCTTGATCTAATTGGGATTAAGTTTCAAGCAAATGCCGTCACATTTGACACTTGAATACCCTGGTCTTACTRAGGAATCCAGGGGTTGTTTCCAAAGGAGACACTTTGCATTATGGGTAAYTGAAACAACTTCACTTTAATCTCATCTATACTGAAGACATTGGACCAGAGTCATATAGTTCATGTTGGGCCACCACGTTCATTTAAAAAGAGGCTTTTTCACCTGAAACTTCTCCATATAAGTCTTACTTTTTCTAATTGTACGGTCATGAACTTTTAAGCTGCTAACTGAGGCATATAGCATCTGACATACAGAACTATGTTTAATGTGGAATATTTTTTGTATTCCTGTGGTTAGATTTCAAACCAGGTGAGGAACAACCTTTTAATGTGCTGATATAAAACACAGTTAAGGTGGCCTTTTCTTTTTCCTCATGAATTTAAAAAAGCAACTTAATACCAGTTTGTTGAAAATTCAAACAACTGCTTTATTAAAAAGTCAGCATATTGACATTCCAAGAAGGCAGAAAGGGCACAAATATGTAATAAAGACAAAATACAGCAAGTTTTTTTTTTTTTTTTGGAGGATTCATGCTACATAACCGCCACGCCAAAGGAAAAGAGGAATAAAGCAGAACGCTCTAAACAGTTTGTTTCAACGTAAACAGGAACATTTCCTTTATCAGAAATAAGTTCTTCCTCTTTACACCTCAACTCTTTATCAGTGCATCTACAGCAGAAGAAACGGAAGCAACTGACAAAATCATTTGTCGTAAGCTGGTATTAAAGATGGTGCAGTTTTTTTTTTTTTTACCCCAAAACACGTTGGACAGATGAGGTATAAAACTCTTTAGCACTGAATCAGCAGGTAAATGTCAGCAGGACTGCATGTTTCAATTGGGATTCTTGTTTTTCTTCCAGTTGGGATGATCAGTACCCTACATGCACATTAACAATACATGCCTGCAAAGTACAAAAATATCTCTAACCTGCAGAGGGGAAATTAGATCTGTGTGTTTTGAGGAGAAGGTGGACAAAAAAGAGAATTTATGGATGTGTGTAAACAAACAGTTAACAAATGGTTCTTTAGGCTACTCAAACACTAATACACTGCAAAAATTAGTCATCTAAAAATAGGTTTAAAACCCCCAGATTATGGTTCGAATCTTCTCAAATGAAGTGAAATAATCTGCCAGTGCAAGAAGAGAAGAGCACTTGATGAGACTTCTTGAAATAAGAAATTTCCAGGCGAATAAGATCGCTTAATGATGAAAGATTTTGGCTGAAAAAAAAAAAGTAAAGTTTGCGGTTTGTTGTGAAATAGCCAAAAATGCTGAAAATAGCAGAAAAGTAGCTAAAAAAAGCTGAACCTAAGACAAAGAATCAGAAATGTTTGAATTAGCTGAAAGAAGGTAGCTAAAATATCAAGGTGAATTTAAATGAAAGGCTAAAACCTAAAACGTAGCTTAATTTACAGAAAACTGCTGAAAACTCTATAAATTTAATCAAGAGGATAACTGCAAAAAAGTAGACACCAGAAAAAGAAAAAATAAAATAAAATGAGCAAAGAAGAAAAAAAAAAGGGTGTAAAATGCAGGAAATGTTTAATTTAAGATTTTAGACGACTGCCCCATTAATCTTCATTATGGCTAAAAAGGCTAAAAATTTCCATAAGCATAAATTTCTGAAATTCCAAAAGTCATAGCTGGAATCCTCTGAAGCACCTGAACATTTTGATATATTGTTGAAATAGCCTAAAAATTGTGTAACGTGACAAAAAATAAAACGTTTTGAAGCAAAAATGATCTAATTTAACACACTGCTCTTCCTTAGTCTATCAGTCTCAAAACAAGATCAAAAACACTTTTTGGCTGGATACAAGTTTGTAAGACCTGATTAGATGGACTATTTCTTTCAGTGTATTTGGTTATTTTTAGCCATAATTTTAATAACTCTTTGATGCTGGGGAATTCAGTGGTAGGTTAAAACAAAACTGGCAGCTTGCTCATGATGTAGATGGGAACATAAAATTCAACACTATCCTCCTGTACATCTGAGGGTTTTTTTTAACTATAAAAATTTGGATGCAAAATGGACAAGATTCCAGTCATTGTAAAGCTAAGCTAAAAGGCTATAAATAACAGAAACTGCAAGCTGATTAGTTTCCAATTAGTTTCATCTCTCAACTGAAAAACGTACTTACATCTTTGAAAAGTAGGTCATATTTTAATCATATATCACTAGATATAGTTTTTGTTCAAGGGTAACAAATCCCCGTCTCAGTGGAATGAAAACAAGTAAAGCAGGACAGTAAATAATGAATGAATTCTGCCCTTCAACAAGGCACACTGCACTGAATACAATTTCATACATGTCATTTTAAGGCCTTTTCAACCACAAGCTTTTGTCATTTTAGCTTTTAAGGGCAACTTTAAAACAGTAAAAAAAAGCAACAATCTCTGAATCATGTTAGTAATCTTTGTTTAACGCCAAACCTAATTCAAAATGCAGACATACAAAAGGAAGAGTTCTTCTTTGTGCCTGTTTTAAACGTATCACGGTGGTCAAAAGCTGAGTTTTAAAAAGGGTTAAAGTAAAACAGAAATAAAGACGGACACGCAATCCTTCAATTCATGTGAAAAAGACAAAATCAAAATACATCGCAGACCCTTTTTTACTGGACAGTAATGATCGTTTACCATCCAGTGAAATGTTTCAAAATGACGTAATAAAAATACAGTTTGATTAGGGTCAAAAACACGATTAATAAAAATAATAAAAAGTGTAAACAAACAAAAGAAGGCTCCATCAATAGAGGCATTTACCATTAGTTTGAGTAGTGAACAAAAGACAAATTTATATCCAAAGTGCTAATCAATGGCCTCGTTTAAACTAGAAACTATTCCCTTCTTTATGGAAATAACCGAAGTTATGATTAGAGCATTAAAGAAAACAAAGTCATAAAGATGTCCAATTAACGACATGACGGTAAACAGCGTAAATGTGGGGATGAGAAGTTAGTTTGTAGTTAAACAACTGAAATGAAGCCTGGGGCGTTAATACTGACAGATGGATAAATATATTTTTGTACAAATGTACACGCCGAGTACACATTAAATGATTGCCTTATTGCAGACTAAGTAGAATGCAGAATTATAGAGTTAAATTCCAGACTTTCCTACTGATATTTTCAGACTTTATGTCCATAAAAGAAAAGAAAAGGCATTTTTCGTGTTTATTTTCTCAACTCTTACTTTGAAAAAAAAAAAAAGTTAGATCTGAAATCCAGCAGATGCAACCAGATTTTACTGATCAAATAATTCAAATAAAAATTTGGACGTAGGACATTTGAAGTAGAACATTTCTCAAGGACGGGTTTAAATTAAAATGATTTTTAGGATTAAAAAAAAACAAACAGGTTTAGAAGGAAATTTACCCATCTGTTAGCAAAACCAGCAGCTACACGCAAACATCATCTTTTTAGACCTGATATGACAAACATTTTTAAAGTATTGATAAGAGCAACCTTTCACAATAAAAGGCAAACATTTAATGCCACAGATGGTTTTCATTTTAGATCTATAGTTTACTCAAAAATGTAAAATAATTTGTTTTACAACATAAAAAGACAACAATATTGGTTTTAAATGAATATAAGGTCACAAGAAATTAAGAGACGAGTGGAAGCAAGATAAACAAAATCTGAGGCTGCATCTTTTTTCTGCTTTATGACACTTACTTTCTTTCCTTTGGCTTCAACGTTACAAAAGCCAAACAAAGTTGTACAAAAAAAGAGACTGATATCAGAGTAGTTACCTGTAGGCAGAGTGTGTGGAAGAACAAAGTCACATCATAGACAGCTTTTCTAAGTTTAGAGCCACTTTCAAGCTACAAGAAAAAAAAGGTATAAAAGACTGGAATTTTCTTGTTTAAATAAATAAAATTCTTAGAATGGTTCAAATATAATGAAATAATTGGGATAAAACATGACATCTTAGATGAGCAGCTAATAAAAATTCCCTCCGAAAAAATAATTTCTTTCACAGATTTCCTTTGTTTTTTTTTCTTTTCTTTTTTCTTTTTTGCAAAAAATGAAAATATATTGTTTTTTTTAATGTTCTTTGCCATTGTCCTTTTAAAAAACAAAACGATAGTACCAACAAATCTTCTGAAATTCATCTACAGCTGTACAGCATCTCAACCATAGATCTTATAATTAAATTTATGAAAACAGCACATCATTTGACATAAAACAATTATTTTTTACAGCTATGGGTTAAAAATGGTCATAATAAACAATATGTAATAAACGATATAAAAAGAGGATAGAAAGAGAGCGTCTGCTAATGAGATTCTTGGAGATTTGTTTTCTCTTCAATGGCCTGTTTTAAGATTTCTGCCAGCTTCAATCGGTCGACTTTATCAGAGAAGCCTCGCCCTGCAATAAAAACACTGCGGGTTAAAGACGTAACGAACAAAAACAAGGAGAAAATAATCAGAATTGGGAAAATAATGCATGGAATTAGCTTGTTTTCTTTGAAGTGGGTTTCTGTGAAGTAGTTATGTCTGTTTGGAGACTAGATTTAACTTCAAACTACTTTATTAGCTTTTTTAAGCTTTATAGAGTTTTTCTTAAGTTGATGTTTAAACTAAGTTAGCAGATTTCAACATCATGAAGGTAAATATTTTCCAGATGCATAATATGCTTTGGAAGCAGGTTGAGTTTAACGTGTAAAGCAAAAGTTGGCCATTTTTACTAAAACCCTGTTGAATTTGAGTTACATTAACCCTCAAAATCATTTAATGAGGTAGGAACTGTGTTAGATGCTTAAAACTCCAAATCAAAAAGACTGAAAGTAGTGTATTTTAACAGCTATGGCTTTAAGAGTTAACAAGTTAGTTCAGTAAAACAAAAATGGTGATTATTTTGCATTTAATGGTCATAGTATAAGAGAACTAGGTAAAAAAAAGTATAAAAATTGTACTGACCGTCCCAGTTGAGCCCATGCAGACCGTCTCTCAGCAGCCTACAGTCTCTGTTGAACCTCCAGGCTTCATGCATTACCTCATTCAACTTCTCGTCCTCATTTTCTCCTGAAAACACAAATATTCACCTCAGAAACTACCATCATTCCCAGTCAGATGTTGTCATCTCATTACAAAATGTCATTAGTGCAAGCTGTGATGGATAACAAAGTTCAGTTTATTGGAGAAATGTTTAATTTTGTTCTCTCKGTGCTTTTCCCAGCTGAAATTCATCTGTTATGTAGGAATTTGTTTAAACGTTAACCTAAATGTGTCATCTTTTGGGAAACAACGGTACATCAGTAGAAGAATCGGCAGTGACTGACCAGCTTGTGGTAGTATACATTGTGCAATGACGTCTCTTAATTTTTCAAGCGCTACGTTGGAGTCCTCCCCTCCGTTTTCTGGGTCGTTGATGAAGAAACCGTCTGTAGGTTTGGAGCTGCGGCATCGAAAAACAAAGCACATCAGAGACCAAGGCTTTTACAAGGACACCTAATGAATTCCTATTTAAAAAAGAAGGTGTCAGGAAACAACAGTACAATCAACAAGAAACCAGAGACAGCCGAGTACCATTTTACCGTCAYTCAGCTGCAGCGTCAGTCGTAAAACCAGCCAAAAAGGAACAATAAGATCGTACCCGAGCAGCTTCCTCTTCCTGAGGATTGGGTTGTTGACAGAGTTGAGAGGCTTCAGACTGACATTCAGATCCTGAATTCTCATGTTGGCGAGCTGCTCTGCATGTGCCTGCTGGATGCCTGCGACTACCGCCTGAAAGAGGAGAACACATCGGTGAGGACAAAGACCAGTTCAGACGGGTGAGTTTGATCCACCTGTGTTGTCCCCAGATGTATTCCCAATAATCTGCAGAGTTGGTTGAGAGTGAAGACAACAGATACAGATTACTTTGGGCAGCAGCTTGTGGCTCACCTTGTCCATCATCATCTGTGGGGATGGCAGCACGTGGTCCAGGGCCTCGGTGCAGTTGAGCCACGGATGAGCCAGGACTTCCTCGATACACAGCCTCTCCTCTGGCTTTACCTTCAGGAGCCTACAGACAGGTGGAGAGGGGACAGAGAAATATTATGAGAAACAAGTGAGATCATCATCATCAAAAGGTCTTTTACAAACAATAGCAAAAAATACTAAAATCTACAAAAAATAAAAATAAAAAAAACTTACTTGCGTACGATGTCCTTGGCCATTTCAGAGATCTGGCTCCACTCGTCTTCAGGAAAGTCAAAGCTGCCCGTCATGATCTTCTTCCTCATGTCCTTTGGGATGGTGCGACTGTGGTGTTTGGAGTAGAACGGAGGATAGCCGCACAGCATTATGTAGATTATCACGCCGAGGGACCACAAGTCACAGCTCTGCAGAAGCAACAAGCATTTTTAGTTTTTCAGTTTCCAGGACAAAATATAAAAATCATTTACACACCTCTTATTTAGGATAAGAGCCACTTTGCATCTTGCAAAAACAATAAACCACCCATCCAACCAGCCATCAGCCATTGCTCTTGTTTGGTTAAGGTTTTTGCTCTACCTAAAATTTTTCTTTACCATTTTGTAATAAAAGTGTCTTTTAATATGCTCCATAAATAAACTTAATAGCACTAAAACTGAAAGGTCAATTTTGACAATGTGAAAAAAAGAGCTATTTTTGTGGACGTCTCATCTATGAATGAACGGTATTGCTCATTTTCATACGTATAACCTTTTGAAAATACCACACATCCCGAGAAAGGAATGGAAAAAAACAACTCAGCTGCTCTGACCCTTCCTGTTACTCAATCTGTCACTCAAAGCAGCAGCAGGAGTCACAGAACGCCTCTTACTATGTCAAACAGATCAAAATACGGTCAACTTTCCAACAGGACACCCATTCAATCCTGCGGTATAATATCGTCATACCGTCCCAAGCCTGGTCTCATCTGCCACTAGAGCTCAGAATGAACTCACACGATAATGCAAGTGTAAAATAAAACCACACGGGTTAAAAGAAACAGTCATTGTAGTTTAAAGCAAGGAGTCTTTTCCTCCTTCAAGTACAATGCACAGGCTTGTGGAAATAACATTCCTTCTCGGAAGAATAAAGACCTTTGAAAGTCTAACGTTAAGTCAGGCTTACAGAACCTCCATTCAGGAGTACAGCAGCAGGACTGAAGGCTTATTCCAGGTGATGAAGAGGTTTACCTTGTTATATGTGTAAGGAGTGGGTGAGGTAGGTATGATTCCAGACTTTTCCTTCTGATGTCTTCTTTGAGCCTCAAGTACCTGAAAAGAGACTTGATTATTGATGGTTATTTTATTCTAAAAGGATAAAAACCAGAAAATACTACAGAAATTTTTAGTTTTTGTAATGAGTACTAAAATTTGAAGAACAAGTTGTTAACCGAGTTGTTAAAACAAGCTGAACAGAAGCTGAAATGAGCAGGACAATAGCTAAAACCTACCATTGCAATAGCTAGTAACAGTAAGTATGCTGAAGTAGATTTCAGAGAACACTAGTTTTAAAAAGAACTGAAGAGATCTGAATGTATTTTTATGGGTAAAATCTCTGTAAAGTTAAACAAATTAAAACAAGTGTGCAGAAGTCGTTTGACGGCAGAAAACGTATGAAAGAAACTATAAACATGAAAGCAATCGTGTGAACTTTTTGTACCTGAGGTGCTACGTAGTAAGGTGTGAACTGAGGGGTCATCAAGTCCCCTTGATCAATTTTGGCAAAGCCAAAGTCACATAACTTCACAGGTGCATCCTTCAAGAGAAAGACGAAACATGATCAAATACGTATTCAGTTTTTATATCTGAGAAGTTTAACGAAGTTACTGACGACAAAAGACTGAACAATTCCTCCACGACCCACCCAGAACCAGCTCTTCTTCCAGTTCTAGCGCTGAATTTCTGAGACTTTCTACATCTGTACTTGTGCTAAAAATACTTCTAAAGSTTTACGTGTGCGACGCAGTGCAGCTCCAGCGTCTTCTTACCAGAGAATTATCTTTGAAGAGCAGGTTTTCTGGCTTCAGGTCACGATGTGCAATATTCAGGGAGTGACAATGTGCCAACGCTTGACTAATCTGCAAGTGGAAGAGACGTCACGCTGAGACAACAGTAGATGCGCACAGCAAAGCATTCTGAGCTGAGCAGACGTGTGTTGCTTCGTTCATTTCAGAGCCCAAACAGAATCTGAGCAGTTTGAATGAAAAAATAAATAAATAAAATAAAATAACAAATAAAAAAGGCAAAGTGGGAGGGTTAACACACCTGTTTAGTGACCTGACTGGCCATCTTTTCAGTAAAGTGCCTGTGCTGACTGATTCTGTGAAAGAGCTCACCACCTTCCATCATCTCCATAACAATCAGAAGTCTCGCTCTGTAAAAAAAAAAAACATTACAGATAAAACTAATTAAAGCCTAGCATTCCTTAATTTGAGCTACTACCACATAAAATCATTACTCGATATCTATAAGACTTACTTTTGTTTTTGCTAATGTCGACCATCCTTAATTAGATTGGCTCTAAAATTAAAGCAGCTGTTTGATAAATTCTGAAAGTTTTTTTTATGTATCCAGTGCTCATTGTGTATTTTGCTAACAGAGTTGGGATAGTTAAACTCTTAAGCAATCTGTTAACGCTCAAAMTATGTGCTGGGTATTAATCTCAGCTGCTACCTAATTTTAGGCAAATATCTGTATTTTTGATTGAGTTTTGACCATTTATCTGTTTTCTTGAATGGGGCTAAATCAAAACAATAATCCTTTGTAGATGTACGTCTAAGCAGTGTAAGTAGCTGCTTCACGAGATATTTTGCTAACGCTACAAACAAACACACCCACACAGACGTGGGTGAAAACACTGCCTTTAGCGGCAGGTGATAATGAGCAGAAGGAGGTGATATTTGAGCTTTCTACCTGGAGCTGGACTCATGAGGGAACTGGACACTGTTGGCGTACACCTCCTGTATTTGCACGATGTTTGGGTGGATGGCACACATCATATGGAGACGCACCTGGATGGAGTAATAAAATGGCACTTTACCTGCAACATTCTTTTTTTCTGCAATAACTGCACCACAGAAGAGCTTCATGTGACCCATCACATCAAAGTGAGAATTAAGTCCAAAAGTGGAATGTGAAGAAATAGGCAGAAACAGGTTTGATTTAAACAAGTGCAAAAATTGTATTTTGTCAAAATATAATGAATGCCTTATCAATGTATCATTTGAATGAACTGTCTAAAAWTATAATCTTAAAAAAATTTTAAGCATTTTTTGAGCAGTAGCAACAACAAAACTGATTTTGAGGAAAAACGCCTTAAAATTTTGAATTTTTTCTGTGAGCTAGAAATGTTTTTGTTTCTTTCAAACTGGGAAATCTTAATATACTAATAATATGTGAGGTTTCCTCTTTACATTGACATCAAAAATTACTCAATAAATTTACATAAAATTAGGATTCAGACCAAACAGTAATGKATTATTGTAACAGACAAGACAAATTAAGTCATATCTCTGGATAACCCGATACAGATCTCAAAATGTAGCTTTTAAAGCCAGGAATCTGAAAATGTAATTAGGTCATTTTGTCCAAATTTGACTTAATCCTCATTTCGATATGATTGGTCGCCTATGTCCACCCTTTCAAAATAAAACTCAAGTGTTTCATGATTAAATTAAACAGCAAATTTTGCATGAAATTAATGAACATTTGATAAATTAATAACAAAGATAATCAAGCATTTACCGCTTGTTAAGCACATTCTTATTTTACTACTTAGTCAACTAATTTAAGATGTCAAAAGAAATGCATTTTTTAAATTGAGCTTTCATTTGTGCATGTAATTATATTTATATCTGTAGTCATATTAACACACAGCTATGACAACTCAAAGCAATTTCATGTAATTATTATCTACACACACAAAACATCCTCATTTGACAAGATAATAAAAGAGCCAGAAGTGTATATTTCTCACTTTCTGATTTTTCTCGTCAAGTGTCAACTTTCACAGTTCGTCAGCGCGAGCCTGTGAAGCATATTTTGTTTCTGCTGCTTTGATCAAAACAGTGGGCTGCTAATGACATAAAGAAGCTGCTAGACAAACTGTTCTCTGTGGCACRGCACCGAGTAGGGACAAAGAGGCGCAGGAGACAGAGCGACAGGGAGAGGAAAACATGAATTAATGAAGACTGAGAAGAGGCGGAGAAGGCAGAACAACAGGGATTTAATTGCACTTGTGACAGTGGGCTAACCTCATTTCTGGCCTTGGGGCGATCAATGAGGATTTTTAGAGCCAGGCGTTCCTGAGTCGACTTCTTTACACACACTCTGGAAAAGACAAGAAGAGTTATAAAAAAACATTACATCGTTGAGACATTAATAGAATTGTATTTTTACAGAAACAACCACAAACCACAGTAAATAAGTGACATTTGACTGCAAAAAAGGGTTCAGGACACGCTAGGTGTGAACACTCTCAATAGCTATGTTTCCATGCACAAAATMATTTGATCAGATTGAAATGTATTCAGATTAAATAATTTGAATGTATATATGGGCACAMAATTAATTAAGGCTTTAAGTGCCTGTGACATCAAACTTTTGTAATAAACATGAGTGCATTTTTGGAAAGAGAACATGCRTAGGATATTGCAAAACAAATTTCACGCTGCTGAGAAGAACAGTTGTTGAGATATTTGCATGTGAAGAAACAGGAAGTGATGTCAAAGGGGAATGTCTGCATGTGAACAGAGCGTTGTTACAATAACTAACACAGACTGTAGAGAAGAATCTGATGCTTCTTTAAATTAGTTTGAGTCGCTATCAAAGAGAAATGAAGAAAAGGTAAAGTTTAATAATATTGTTTTAATAAAGACAAAAGAGTTTATTTTTATTTAAGAGTTCCCCTTTGATGTCACTTCCTGTTTCACTTTGGCTGAGACAAATTCCAAAGAAAATAAGCCAGTTATGTGACAAAATGGGTAAAATCATGTGTACTACGYCAATTTTATTAAGTATAAAGCTGTTTTCTTTGACCTTTTGTATWTGAAGGATAGGTATGTCACAGGCACTTTAAAGTGTTAACACCCTCCTCCAAAGAATACCTAAAAGTCTGGATCTGACTGTTTTAATCGGGGCGTTTACATCATGCATTTTGATTTCAATTGGCYGTTTATTCTGATTACTTCTGTCCATGTAAATGTAGYTAGTCAGAGCGGTCCACTTGTAATCTGATTACCCAAGTTGGATATTAATGCAAGGTCTGAACACTCAGAGACAAGACATAGCAGGAAAATATGCATCTTGTCTGCAGAGCCAAATCCAACGAATCTCCTACTGTCAAATGGCTTAAAAATAAATCAAAACATTAGTCTTGTCTATAAAAAAATACAAGGACGTTCATCTAGTGAGAGCTACCAAAGTGTTATAKTTAATGTTTCCGACAAACTCTTTTCTCCTCTAATCTGCAAAGATCAGAATCTTCACTTTAAACAGCGACCTCTGGTCCTTGCACTATTACCGTATTAAAGTATTACCACAGAAAACATTCTGCTTAGGCCAAAGATCACTTCAGTGGAAAGAACTACCTACCTAATGAATCACAGAGTCAGACACAGGAGGGTTGGGGTTTGTGTTTGGAGGCAGAAAGATTGGAGGGGATGTGGGGGGGGGGGGGTGTCAGTAAGGAAACTATAGTGTTGCTCCATAAAAATCAGAGCAGAAAATGAACTCAAACATGAGACATGCTCAAAACAGAAACAGTCCATCATGAATCATAGTTTCTCAGTATTCTTATCAAGTCAGACTGAAATGTTTCAATTATGAAATAAATAAGGGTTTGCTCTCTCCTCATTTTGACCTGTGACACCTTCAAAACAGAATAAACATTAAAGCTGTTATCTGTACTCAGACAGGCACTTTCAAACACCAAGCCTGYAGTCTCTCAACAAAGGTTAATTTTCTATCTATAGTGAGTGAAATAAAACCTGCCAAAGTATTTATTTGCACAAGYAGAGTTTCGATTACACACTAAAATGTTTCGACATTGTGGTTGTAAAGGTTAAATTATGATTTGACGCTCAGGAGGTACACMGATTGTGTCTTCACTAAATAAAACAACAATAATAATGCCTAGACCAAATAACTTCATATGAAAGCTTATGCTCATTATTTGAACAACAAAAGCAATTAATAAAAACTCTGCCCTGTTGGAATATTATGTCTAGCTCTGTTGCCTTTTATTTGACCATGCAGTGACAGGGATTGGGTAGAAAAATAGAGAAAGTGACTAAAAAGGGACTAAAATGGTGGGACTAAGATCAGTTGTGCGACCCAGAACTCCATCTTTATTTTTCAGTGTGTTCATGGTTTCAGTGTAAAATAGGGTTGCACCATGTATCGCAAATTTATCATCATGGCGTTAACAACCTACGCAAAAGACATATCGCAAAATCATCATAAACTGAAATAAATGGTTGGTTCAAATGTTTGAATTTATGTGTTTTGTCAGCATCAGTCTGATAAAGAAAACAGACCCGAGATACCACATCAAATCATAACCACTTGGTCAATGGAGAAAATGTTGCAATGAGAGAATATGCAGTTTGATTTAGGTTTGTTAATTTTTATTTTTAAAATATTTAACTAATTTTCAGATATTTTTTAACATTTATTTAAAGAAACTGATACTAAGGGGTGTTTTTCAGGATTTAGAGCATATATATATA